AATTGGCAAGTCCACTTGGGGCACAGATTAGACCTTTATTCTGACAGGAAGGATCGATCATTAAGGCCAATAATAATAAGACAGAGTGGACACTTCTCTATGTTCTCGAGCCCTTCCAGCGCAAGCCCATGAAAAACAAAACAAAACAACCCAGCTTCGGTTCTAACACTAACATTGTGGACCCCGGAAGTAATTAACTGGGTATGTCGTTGTTAGTTTTTGCTGAATTTAAACACAGTTCCATAAATCTTCAAGTGCAGTAGAATTATTGCAGGGGATCACTTTGTGAATATGTGAATGTCCAGCCACTATGCTGTACACCTGAAACTAATATCAAATAATACTGAATACCAACTGTAAATTGGAAAAAAAAATTAAAAACAAAAAAACAAACAAACAAAAAGATCATTCAAGTACAGCTATGGAGAGCACCTTGCTCCCCCAGGCCAGCTTCCTGCTGTTGAAACTAAGCTTTGCTTGCATTTGTATTCTAAAACAAGTATGGTTTTGCCGAAATCTGAGCTCTTTTGAAAGCAGATATATAGTCTGCAATTTTCTAATTTTGCACTTGTCAGCTGAGTTTCAGAAGAGTGGAGAAGCACGTGGGGTGGCCGTGGCCTCAGTCAGCTCCAGTCCAGGCCATCAGACCCCAAAGCAAACGTGGGGACGCCTTGCGTTTTCTCGGAAGGAAGGGACCCTCCCAGGATGGAGGGTTTTAAATAGCAGTGGGGAAAACTGAGCAATTTAAATTCTATTTGTAAAAGATGCGTCTGAATTTGCTATTGATACCAGAGTGATCATACATGGCCTCAGTAATAAAAATGAAGAAACACCAGGCTGATATATTGCTATTTTTAGGTACCTTTCCTTGTATTAGTTTAGCCTATTCATGTGAGGACCTGGGCACTTTTAGATATGTGGCTTCTAGCCACATTATCTATTCAACAGCATACATAGCCTTCTTTTAGCCGGTAATGATCTGATGTGTAATGCCCCAGGGTCCCTTGAAATGATTATATATATATATATCAAGCTTTGTAGGTTTCAGTATAATTTACCTTTAAAGAATAGTATTATATTGATGGTTTATATCCTGAATGCTTGTCATAACTAAAAATATTTTCTGTATCTTAACATATAAAATGTGTATCAAATTCCAAAGTCACAACTTTCCCCTTCAAAGTCCCATATTATTTCCAGGCATTTGGTGCTATAGAGTAGAAGTCTGAAGGCAAAATGCTCTTTTGTTTTCTGATAGGCAACTTGTTACTTTCTGACTGGATGAGGGCAAGCGTTTTCATTCCCCATCTCGGTAGTTTAAAATTATTGCCATGAGGTGCTTGCGTAGTGGTCTCGTTCACTTTGTTTTTTGGGGGTTTTTTTTGGCCTGGAATGCAGTTAGTCCTTTCAATCCACACACACAACTTTTCATTCTGTTCAGGAAAGATTTTATTTTTATGGTTGATGTTATTTCTTCTCAATATAGTCTTTCCCCCAGGAAAAGCAAGTATCAGTAATGTCAGCTAATGTTCTGTCTTCTCAATCCAGTTCCTTTCCCCAGGATTTTCGTCTTTCATTGCTTTGGAAGAACATTAGAAAGAAAATCTCGAGTTTGTCCTTCATAGTATTGAGTTTCGTGTGTTTTCTTTAAGCACCAGTATTATTTTCTGCTTCCAATGTAGATTTTAATGTTTTTAGCTTCCTTACAATCCTTTCTAATCAATTTTCTTTTTCATGTTATTTTATTGCCTTTTTCTCTGAACCCACTCCCATTTCAAGAGAACTATTGCTGCACTGAAGCCATTCTTCTGTTCTTTCAATTATGATAAAAAAGAAATCTAACATGTTCGTTTCTTGCAGCAGACCACTTTCATTTTCAAATGTTCTGAAAGCTGCTCATTTCCCTTGTTTCACATTTTTAAAAATATGCATTTTGCCTTTTTTCTCTATATTCATCTTTAAATGTGCTCCTTTCTCCCCAGACCCAGTGTTTCTTGGTTACACCATCTGTCCACTTGAGAGTTTGTCAAACCCTGTTTTCTAATACAGAGACTGATGGTAAGGTCATGTGCAGATTCCCAGGTCCGGTTCCTAGTTCAGCACTTGACTAGGAACATCCTTTTTCAAGTGGCATCCTTTTTCTTCTGATTACCAGGCTTTCTGCCTCTTTGATCCAACAGCATACATGAAGAAATCACAATATTTGCATGTTCTGCTACCTATCGTTTCTGCTCTCACCTACAGGGTGTTTATCTGAGAATGCACTACACCTCTAACAGGTCCTCACTGCCTTCTGCGCATATTTCAGCTCTAAGATGTGGAGTCTTGGACCAAATGAAGAGGAGGTGGGGTGGGGAGGATAGAGAACCTTTTTGATTGTGCTTCCAGATTCCAGAATTGAGATTTGACCTCCCCCTGGGTCTTGATGAGTGATTTTCTGGGAAGGCAGAAGCTCACTGGGGGCTCTAATAGCCTGATGTCCTTCTGACAAATGCAGTTCCTTTCATCAACTTTTAAAAAATCCAAATCTTGGCGGTTCTCTCTATGGAGCATATCTGTACCCCTACTCCCAGGCGCCTTTCTCCTAAGTAATAAGGGCCCCTCCTTTTGCCTCTGTAACTTGTTTCCTGAGCCCACTTCTACAGCTCACTTCTACCTCTGTGACTTTCTAAATAAACTTTCTCTTATAGCTTGAATTTTAAAAAATCCAAATCTTCCCAGCTATGGTATAAAGGAAGAGAGTTCTGGATTGATTTTCTAGTTCTCATTCTACCACTTATTGTCTTGCTGACCTTGGATGGGCCCTTAAATACCTCTGGGCTTTCATTTCTTTCCTGGTAAAATGAGGGAATTTGACTACACAATCTCAGAGTTACCTATATTCTACATGTCCTGATAAAGGTAAAAATAAAAACCAAATGACTAAATATGTATTTTGCTATGAGGGTGCCTTAATCTCAAAGATTATAAAAATCCTCTGACACCAATATTAAAAAGAAGAAACTTGAGCATATAATTGTGACAGAGATTAGGAAGACCTTTACACCTAAGCAGTGATACAAGGGTCAAAACAGGTGGTTTGTAAATTATGTGACTTTTCTTAGAATAAGTTGGCATAACCACCTGCACTTCTATGTAGATAAATGGTAAAGAAGTATCTATTGGATAAAGACAAGGTTCTCAGTAGGTAGGAAATGTTATTCTCCTTCATAATGCTTTCCAGGAACTACTGAATTGTACCATGTGACCAATTGATTAGTAAGACGGTACATATAAGGTGTGACATGGTATGGCTTAATATTTCTCAAACAAATACAAATTGTGTTTAGTTTTTTAAAAGCTCTGTGATACATGGACTTCTGTGGGCCTGAAGAAGGTGTTTTGTCCCATGGATTGAGCACTGGATTTGGAGTCAGAAGACCTGGGTTCAAACTTAAGTTCTCCAGCTTATTAACCTATGACGCTTTGGGAAATTTACTTAACTTCTCTGAGCCTTGGTTTCTCAATAAGTAAAATGGGGATCATTAGACCTACCTTGCATAGCAGATGTGAGAATTAAATGAGAATGTGAGGCAGCTGTAAGAGAGCATCGTGTGGGTCAAATCTGAACCTTCTAGAAACTCTTTTGAACAAATGGCAATATTAATTGTAGTTAAATACAAAGGAATCCAATCAGTTCTACTGATCTTAAAATACTTAGGAGCCCATTCTCTTCTCAGTAGGGGAAAGGGACCCACCTAGTTGCTATTAATAGTAATGGAAGCACTAATACGATGACCCATAATCCAGTGACCCTTTTTTGGTTTTAATCAATATATCCTGAAATTCTTAACTCCCATATGAGCTGCATTTGATAAATAATAAAGCACTTTAATTGAGTATAAAAATCTGATTCTGATCAACAGCTAAACATGTGGAACTTCTCTGGATTTCTTGGACAGTAAGAACTAGAAGTTCTCAAAATCATCATAACAGGCAAACTTTGCCAGAAGGATGGGTAGCCTCCCTCAAAGGAATTGTGGGAAATCCTGTGATGTCAGAATATATAAATGCAGAGTATATAATCTCCAGAGATAAATTAGCTTATCATCCCAAAACCTCCTCTCCCCTAAGAAAGGGAGCTTGGCCTCAGGTCACCACCAACTTCTCCCTCTGCTCATGTTTTTGCGAAGGTGGTTACTCGATACGGGAAAATACAACAAAGATTTTTACCTAAGATCACGGCCTACACAGGTGAACGTTTCTCTTTTAATATAGAGCATTAGAAATCCACCCCGAAAGCAAAAGCATTTAAAGACATATATGAATTTGAAACTTTTTTGTGTGTTTTGCTACTCCTCCCCCAAGGATAATTTTCCATTGATCTTTCTCAGACAGAGTGGGAGAGAAAGGGAAAGACAGAGAGAAACATCAACGTGAGAGAAACACATTGATCGGTTGCCTCCTGACCAGGGCCTGGGCTGGGGAGGTATGTGCCCTTGACCAGAATCGAACCCAGGACCCTTCAGTCCACAGGCTGATACTCTATCCACTGAACCAAACCGGCTAGGGCTGCCTTTGAAACTTTTAATGTATTCTTCTGTTTAGGGCTGTATGTTAACAGCTTCTAAATATGAATGGGCCTTAACTTAGACTAAATGGCAGCTCGTATGAAGAAAATGAGGTAGCCCTAACTGGTTTGGCTCAGTAGATAGAGTGTCAGCCTACGGACTCAAGGGTCCCGGGTTCGATTCCAGTCAAGGGCATGTACCTTGGTTGCGGGCACGTCCCCAGTAGGGAGTGTGCAGGAGGCAGCTGATCAGTTTTTCTGGCTCTCTATCCCTCTCCCTTCCTCTCTGTGAAAAATCAATAAAATATATTTTTAAAAAAAAAAGAAAATGAGGTAATTCTTCTTGGAGGTCTTCATTTTTGCATTTATTGATGCCTAAAGTTAACTGGTTACCAGCTCAAAACCTTTTAGCAATCCAGATTTCAATAAAAGCACAGTGATGCATGCTGGATAAGCATAATAAACATTGTTTACTTTATTTAAGTAGTAGCACGTGGTCAGTGTTAGCCTAAACCGAAAAATAATCAACAGTCTGCTGCCTAAAGATCGCAAAATAATTTTAGACATTGTGAAACATGAAAATTCAAGAAAACTGTTATTCCTAAAGAAAGCATTCCAGTCTAGTGAGAAGCACTCACTTAGAGATTCACTCTATGGCCTTGAGGAATTAGGAGTTTTGCTTCCTAGTTTTGCCCCTTCCTACTGATACGGTTTTGCAGGACTGCAGAAGGGGAACATTATTCACTTTGGGGATGATCCACTCCAATGAGCCGAGGAGAGGGAGACCAGCACTCGCCAAGTGAGTAGTGAAGGGGCTTCCAGTCTAGTCATCTTCCCACTACAAGAGGCTCCCGCTCCTCCGAGGGGATTATTTTGTCCAGATCCTCCCTAAGAACACGCTGAGGGAGTGGAATGGTGCGTGATGCTTCTAATAAGGCTGAAATCAAATCAAAATCAAGGTAACAATGTCCCACATTTCTTCAAACACCATTTAATCAGTCAGGGAGAGGAACACAGCCTATGCATAATCCAAGCCAGGTGGGAAAATGCCACATGACCAAGGAGACTACTTCTTTCACAACTTTGGTTAACTTTGCAAACACACTAAACGTGGAAAATCTGTCTTATAAAAAGCCTCTTAACATTTCTCCATTCTTCGCTTACTTTTGCTCATTATCTGAGGTATCAGGGCGTGGCTGTGTTGGAGGTAGAATTGATGGGCATAAATGTGACCAGGCTATAAGGCCTGGTTGCTTCTTCAAGTTCAACGGTTTGAAGGAGAGAATCTCCACAACAGAAGAAATAAGCGGCGCAATGCAGATCAGTTGAATAATAATAATAGTTATTACTATTACCAAAAGCTGTAACTAAAATAGCTAATATTTATTGCATGCTTACCATGTGCCTAGTGCTGTGCTAAACGCTTTCTATTTCATTGAATCATACCCTTCAAGCTGACGCCCTATTATCTCTGGCAGAATAAACTTCCCAGGGGAGACCTGATGGATTCTGGGAGGAGGTGCCGAGTAAGCAGGGCTCACTTTGGAGCAGATGCAGAGGTGCTGAGGGCGAGAGCTCACCCAAGGGACTCCATCGGTCTCTTATAACACCCACAGCACCACCATCCCTGACGCAGAGCCAGAGGCAACTGGTATCTAGGTGAACTTGCAAATTCCTGATATTCATTCCCACTTTTGAGCAACAACAAACATACAAACAAAAACAACTAAAGACAAGGAGGGTGGGGGGACACTCTTAACTTCCCCCACTTCCTTCCCTTGGGATTCCCCTTGTTCCCGGCTCAGGGGTAGAGCAGAAAATCATGGCGTCCCCGGTGGGTATGGTGTAGAGCGGGCTGGAAAGAGAACCACTGCCTTAGAACGAGCCACCCTGCCCCCTTCAGGGCCTCCGAGGACGAGGACGGGCCCAGTCATGTAGATGGATAGGTGCTTTACCATTTTAGGAGGTTTACCAAGTGTGTGTGTGCATACACAGTCACCTCCCCACACAGTTACAAAGTAGACAAAGGACCCGGTACAATGGGTGGCACAGAACAGCACTTGATAAATGTGTTTTCTTTCTCACTCCTACTCCCCAAGGAGGCACATCATAACATAAACGGCATTCAAGATGCTCAGACACTTCTTTCATTCCATCAGCTATCACTGACGATTCCACCTCCTGATTTTTTTTTTAAATTATAATCACTCACTTCAGAACTCGGGGATTTACACGACATCAAATGGGTAATAAGTAACAAATTTGAGGCAGAGATGGTTATTCAGCTGATGAAAAGCCACTGTCAACAGAAAGATTTCAACCTCTGGGCCAGTTATTGCTACTTCTGGGAATGTCAAATCTGACGAGATCCCAGGGATTCTAATGGCAATTTCTTCTTGAATCTATTTAAAATTCAAATGGAGGTTTTATTTAATTAGGCTGCAGGCTCTGACCAATAATTCACACGGGTTCTATTTCTGTTTAAGTGCAGAACTGACAAGAAAAAAAAATGACCATCTGCTTTCCACAAACAAAATATCCTTTGGGTGCTTAGCAAGTGAAAGAAAACTGTACCTAATGCTTTGTGTCTCTTTTTAATCAAAACCCTAAAATCACTATAGGAAACCGTACTAGAACAGTATGCACTACCACGTCATAACGCTGAGTTTTAAATGTTACCTGCTATTCAGATACAGATGGAGACATACCAAAATGAAACTATATTCAGGAGAGAGCAACTAGTTTTCACAACATCACAAATGTGCAGGAACTAAAGAGGGAACAACGTTAACCGTTAAGGCAGCATTGGCTGAGTCTTCTCTGGGAACGGGAGCATTACATATTTCAGAGACCAGTGAATGTTTTTTAAAAACAATTAATTAAAATAAATAATAAAATAATATTTTGAAAAAAGAAATAGGGCTGGTTTTAGGACTCCTGCTATTCCAACTTATACTGGAATTTTAATTTTGAATTAGAAAGCAGACACAAGGAATACAATGGTACAAAGCTGTAGCAGTCTTACCTCAGATACAAAATAAAGACCCCAGGAAATTATTATTATTAATTAGCACTCTTTGGGCTCCTTTTCTACTTCTCACTCGGAGTAGTGGTTAGAAAATTCTGCTGATGTTTCCATCACACGGGGTCAGGTTGGATTTTACCTGAGTGAAATGGTTTTAAACTAAAAACCTATCCTCATGCTTGGATTTTTACAACTCGGTCCTTACTGCTGGGTTTGCTTACCTGGTCGGCTGCCTATAGCACTATGTCCCCAACACTGGTGCCAACCTAAAACGATGATACCTACTGTGGCTGAAAAAGTCATACGTTGACCAAAATATATCAAAGCACAACACATTTCCCAATCTGTTCCCTTTGCAGCTCGTTTGGTTGGGTTTTCCTGGCTCAGCCTCAACAATACCTTTAGTTCTTGTACAGATCCAGTGCTATGTGCTGACAGAACAACGGTGTGACACAAAGAACAGATTAAAGGGGGGGGGGGGGGACAACAACTCTAAAAAATATTCAAGTGAAAAGGGCTTTCACGTGGTGCTGAGAAATAGGACATAGGCACTTCAGCTTCAGGAGGTTTTCACATTTTGATCACAGATTGCTTTTCCAAGCCACTTCTTTTACTACTGGCATAATAATATGGTACACACTGTCTAGTTTACTGGAAACCTTGCTTCCACAAGCAGCTTCTGGCGCATTCATGTTTTTCCACGAAACTGTCTTCGCCGATGCAGAGGGAAACTCCTCCCAGTGCTGAGAGCAAGGCCGAGGGCGTCTCCACCACCTTCCACCAAGCAAGGCTGCTTAATCTGCAGAACTCGGTTATCCATCAACACAATATAAAGAGGAGTGTCAAGTGCAATTTTTCTTCTGGAAATAGTGAATGTCTGCCTCTCTTTCTGGTTCTTTTTGTGAGTGTAATTCAACAAAGCGTACATAGTCTTCAAAACATTCTAAAGCTACTAGGCTACTGGGATTTTTTTGGGATAAAATCACTGAAGTCGTCGTCTTCTTCTTCTTTTTCTTCTTCTTCTTCTTCTTCTTCTTCTTCTTCTTTTTTTTAGAAAATCTGTGCTAAAAAGGCACTAGAAAAAATGAACGTCCTTGCTCCTGTGTATGTAGCAATTACACATTGTATTAGATTCCATAATGTAACAAAGGTGACACACATTTGGATGAAACATCCTAAGTATTCAGAATCATCTACTTTCAGTTAAAAAAAAATCCAAAGTCAAAGAAACAGCAGGTCACACTGACAGAGGCCAGTCAGGCCATGAGGTCACGGTCATCCCCGGCTGCCTCATGGCAGTGGCCCGGACCCAGGGCAGGCTCACTGGCAGCAGCTGTGGGAGCCAAGCCTCCTGGAGACCTGAGTAAATGAGACGAAGGTGAAGTTCTCACAGTTTTCCAGCTTGACCTTCTTGGCTAAGTTTGGGACAATTCCCCGAAGAGACCGAAGTCCCATCCTCTGCTCCTCATACCACACACTGCCCATGTCGACAGCCTCCTTCCTGGCGGTAAGGTAGAAAGGGGACTTGGCCTCCATCTGGGTGGGAGGCCGGTGGATGTACATGTACTTGTAGAGCAGGCAGTAAGGACACTGTTTGTGCCCCCTGGAATGCTCGTGGTAGATCTTCCCGTGACATATTCGAGTGGAAGCACTCCGACTCTCCCGCTTGACACTATCCGTCCGGGCAAAATAGGGCTGGTTTTGTGGGTCTTTGAGCAGCTCGATGTCGCCGTACATCAGATCTGCATGCTCCTGCAGTGTCCGCATATTCAGGTATTGGCTGTTGTACTTGACCACAGTGGACAGGAGAGTGATAGGGCTGTCATCCCCTAGGCACCCCGCCTGCCACATCTCCTCCTCGTCGGAGAGGGAGAAGTAGATGATATTGCGAGAACGGGCCCCTGACATCCCTGCCTTACTCAGGACCCACAGCTTCTCCTTGAGTTTCTTGGTGGAAGAACTGAAGGTGCTGCTGGTGATGGAAAAGCCCACACCTGCATTCTTCAGGATGCGGTCCAGGCCCCGGCGGATGGCATGGAGCGAGGTGGCCAGGAAGTCCGAGCCGTCACTCTTCTTAACGGTGACGTAAAAGTTCTCAAGCAGCTCGTTCAACTTCACTGCAGGGATCTCAAATGAGACAAACACGGAGGTTACACATTTGAGGACACCCAAAGAGCCAGACCCCTCCTTCCTGCTTCTACTCCTCACCAGGGGCGGTACTGCAGACAAGACCTCTAAAGAGTTGATGCATGACATAGTGGAAAGAACAGTGAACTTCAAGCTGAAAGATCTAGGTTCCATACTTGGCTCCACTTTACCTCTTTAAACCTCAGTGTTCCAAGCTGTATAATGGGACATGATGATCAACACCTTCTCAAAGAATTACTACAATGCTTAAAGCAGTGGACTCGAAAGGGTTTATAAACAGTAATGAACACACACACATGATTTCGTTACTATTGGCCTTTATAACTTTCACTATTCCTCTCTGGAAAGCCCTTTCTTCTCTTTTCTAGCAAATCCTTTCCTTCCCTCCCCTTCAATAAAATTCAACCATCCAGGGTGGGTGGGTGGGAAGAGATCAACCAAAGACCCGGTATGCGTATATGCATAACCCATGGACACAGACAATAGAGGGATGGAGGCCTGGGGTGGGGGCAGACTACAGGGGTTAATGGTAGAAAAAGGGACACATGTAATACTTTCAACAATAAAGATTTAAAACCCCCACAAACTTCTTGTTAATAGAAGCACTGGAGATTTAATAATTCATTTTTACAATAAAAGAAACATGTTAATATTGTTTTTTAAAAAAATGCAACCATCCTCTCTAAAGAATTGCTGAACTAAACTTGTCAAACTCTGAATCATTCCAACATTAATTTCCTTGATATCTGCACATAATATTTGGTACTGCTGGCCCTAAACATGGTGCTGTAGGGAGAGATGACTCATATGACCAGTTAATAATCCTTGAATTGTCACTTGAATTTATCAGGATAAGTTTGCAAGTGTCTCTGGATCAATGATCCACAGGGTTTCGATATCAATATTTGTTCCACAGATAAGAAAAATGTATTTGGTTTACATCTGATGACTTCAGGTATTCGCAAGAGATCAACTCTCATTATCAGTAGAAAAGGAAAAAACCCAAGGGAAGGTTTCTGATTGGCCCACTCTTGATCCAAACAACTGACCAAAAAATGGGCCACTGTACTAACACGATGTCTTCTGCAACAACCATGGGAATTATAGGAGAGAAATGGCTCCTAAATAAGAAGCTTGAGCAGAAAATCTTATTTGTTACCTTCTCACTTAACAAAACAAATTCTGATAGCTTCCTGTTGCCCTTAGGATAAATTCCAAACCGTTTACCTTGTCTGCAAGTCTTCACAATCTGGCTCCACTCTGTGGTAGATCATCTGTAAAAATAGCCACAATAACTCGCCCCCTCCCTATTCCTATACCCCTTGGCAACGTGACTCTGCTGTTCCTCCCATCAAGAGGTAGAATCTTATTTTCCCGCCCTTGGAACCTGGGCTGGCTGTGACTTATTCTGGTCAATAAAATGTAACATGCGACGATGTGTGAATTTTAAGCCTAGGCCTCGAGAGATTCTGCTTTCATCTGCTTTTGTCCTACAGGTTCTTACAAGTTCTGCTTTCATCATCTTAGTATGATGCTGCCTTGTGAGAAAGCCCTGTTAGACCATGAGAACATGTGAAGTGGAGATAAGCTGTCTGTCTTCTAATATCAGATGACTGCACCCACATGTGTACCCCAACTGAACCCAGTAGAAGAACCACCCAGCTGAGCACAACCTGTAGAATCATGAGCAAGTAAAATGAGTGTTGTGATCTAACACTAAGTTTTGGGGTGGTTTGTTATGCGGCGATAGGTAGCTGGTACACACGGTATCTCTCCAGCCTCCTCATCTGTTCTCTTTGTGTTCTATTTCTAGCCTCCCTGAACTTGGCGTCATTGATAGAAACCACAACGCCCTTTCCTGCATTTATTTCTTTGCACATGCCATCTCCTCTACCTAGAATGCATTTTCTACTAACGTTCTCTATTTGGGAAAATTTCAATGCATTATTTCAGATCTAGTTCAAATTCTGCTGTCTAGATAAAGGCTTCTCCAGCTTCCCTAAGAAAAGTTACTCTCTCACCTGGGATCCCACAGCAGTTAAATTTTATTATGGCTCTCTCCATATTGCACAAACTTTTATCTATTTATATGTCTATGTCTCAAAGTGGACTGAAAGTCCACTGCATCTTATACATGACTGGGTCTTCATTACCTACTGGAAGGCCTGAACTATATCACTGATGCCCAATGGACATGGGTTAAATCAATGAATTAACCTTGGAGTCAGGAGAACCAAGGTGACTTATCATGCAGAACATTTTTCTGACTTACACAGAATACCACAAGTTTCTTTCTTTTTTTAAACTCTTTATTGATTACATATGTGTCCTTATCCCCCATTGCCCCACCCCCCGCTCATGCTCTCACCCCTTAGTGTCTGTGTCCATTGGTTATGCTTATATGCATGCATACAAGTCCTTTGAATACCACAAGTTTCAAAGTAAAATCACAGCAAAAGCAATTCTTGAAGAAATGTCAAATCACAAAATTTATATTATTGGCACACAAGAAACCATTCATTCTGGCCTGTGTTGGTTGCCTCCTTAGTTTTCTTGGACTGAGTTTTGGTTGGGGATTATTCTGTCAGATTACCAAGGTCTTCAATTTGTTATAAAGACATTGCAAGAACCACTGTGAATAGATTTACCATCTCAAAAGTTCACCCTGGATTATAAATTTGGCTCCCTTGATGTAAAAATGAAAAACAAAAAGAGCTCAGTCATGGGGCTGATGACTTCAGATGGTAAAGAACAAAATAAGAAAAAAAAACCCCAAACTGACATGTTAGGCAAATTCCAAAATTCTGGAACTACACAGCAAACCTTGAAACCTGACAGAGTTATAAGACAAGTAAAAAGCAAGAGTTACTTTTAGGAGAATGCCTCAAACTTCCCTTTGTTATAATCTTGTCTAGGGGGATAAAGTGGAGAAATGCCTATGAACTACATCACTCTAATGGTAAACAAAATGACTTTGCTTTTGCAGTTACCAAATTTTACTTTATTTAGAAAGGTAGGCACTGAGCTTCAAGGTGCTCTATTTTCTGAGTGAGTTTAAGGAATATAGAAATCAATGACATAGTAACCTTGAGGGAGATGGATCACTGAGGATTGGGTCACACCTGTATTAAAAAAATACTAAATTAAATACTCAGAGAAGATCAAAGAATGATCATAGAATGAGAATGACAGTGTATACTCTACTTAGATAGATGATATTTTGAAGTCTCATTAGATTCCTTGCTTTCTTTCTTAAACAAATTTGAGGCTCACCAGCTGCCAAATCATGACCAAGAGGTGTTACCTACTTTGTCTATTGCCAGTTACATCCATCTTTAAAGATACATCTAGACTAAAAATATCTTGCATTGAGACCAAGAAAGTGAGATTAAAGAATATGGGCCAGGATGCCTCAGTTCTTTCTTTTAACTAATTATTGGATAAATTCTCTAAGATATTGATCTCTTCCTTAAGCATTTATTTTTAAAAATATTTCAGTGACCCATGTGAGTAGATTACAGAGGATTGAAATACATATTCTTCTTCACCCATATTCTAGATAACACAGGGGAAACGAAGAAATACTAGTACCTAAAGAAGTAGTGGTAGGTGCACTCTACTGAACATTTTCATCACCTGGGATGCATATGTTATCTAAGCCATGGAGGGTATGGAGAAATGAAACTCTTTTCATGGATTCCTGCATGGAAATAGAAAGTGTCCCCGTAACAGACAACTGTCTTCATAGCACTTCACTGACCTCTGGTCTAGAAAAGGTTAAGGTAAGTGAGGATGAAGAATCAAAAATGGGGGTCTCGGAGAACAGGTGAATTTAAAGGTGAAAAGTTACATTTTATTTATTTTTTTAATTGTCATAATACACATATATATGTATTATGTATATGTTTTCAATCTTAAACATTTACAAGTGTAAAATTCAGTGGCATTAAGTACACTGACAATGTTGTATAACCATCACCACTATTCATTTCCAGACCTTTTTTTTATCATTACAAATAGAAACTGTACTTATTAAACAATAATCCCACTTTTCCTCCTCCCTCCAGCCCCTGGTAATCTCCATTCTACTTTCTGTCTCTATGAACTTACCTATTCCAGGTGCCTTACATAAATGGAATTATATATATCTGTCCTTTTGTATCTGGCTTATTTCACTTAGCATAATGTTTTCAAGGTTCATCCACATTGTAGCATGTATCAGTACTTCATTTTTTTTTTATTGCTAAATAAAATTCCATTGTATGGCTATGCCACATTTTGTTTATTCATTCATCTGACTTTTGGGTTGTTTCTACATTTTGGCTATTGTAAATAATGCTATAATGAATATTTATGTACAAGTTTTTGTATAATCTATGTTTTCCATATTTTGGGTATTTGCCTAGGAGTGGAATTGCTGGGTGACAGATTAACTATATATTTAACTTTTGGGGAACTTCAAGACTGTTTCCAAAGAGGCTGCATTATTTTACATTCCCACCAGAAGTGTGTAAGGATTCAGTTTCTTACATCCTCATCAACACATGTTAGCTTCTGTTGCACCTTTTTAAAATTCCAGTCCTTCCTTCCTACTGGATGTGAAGTGGAATCTCATGTACTTTTTGATTTGCATTTATCTCCCTGATGCCTAATGAAGCTGAGCATCTTTTCATGTGCTTCCTGGCCGTTTGCTTATCTTCTTTATAATAACTGTTCAATGCCCTTGTCTGCTAGCTCTAAAATCCATGTCTGTATTTTGGTTGTTTCAGGCAGGAGGATAAATCTGGCTCTCCAAATTGGCCAGAAGTGAAAGATAGAACTGATTTCTCTCCTGGGCACGGCTCACATGTTCCCACTTCTTCCTATGAGTGGTAATATTTGATTGGATGCTAGAAATTGTTGAATTCTGGGTTTGTCATACTTTTCAATGGTTGTTGGGACTTCTAGTATCCTCATGTCCTTGGCCTCCCTGGACCCTGATCCCTGTATCCCCTCAACTCAACAAGATTTACTCCCAGGCTCTGCTTGGGTACCCCTCCCTTCATTGCAGCTCAGAAACTGCCTCCAGGCAGAAAGCCTGAGACCTGGTAGCACTCATCTCATTTGTTACCTTTCTTTTAGGGATCAAGTCCTGTGTTACCTGTCACGTCTGAAAAGGGTTGTTTCATACACTGGGCCCAGTTTTCTAATTGTTACAGCAGGAGGATAAATCTAGATCTTTTCATTCCCTTCTGACCGCAGTGGAAATTTCAATTTATTTTCAAATCTGCTCATTTTGATTAGTTTGTTATTGCTTGTACATTTTTATACAGTATTTATTTTTGATCCACAGTTGGGAATCCACACATGCAGATTTCAACTCTGCAGGGGTCGGCACCCATAACCCCAATGTTGTTCAAGGGTCAACTGTAACTCTCTTCATTTCTATAAACATTTCATCCATTCTTAGCCTTTAATCTATTATCTAAAATCCTGGATGTCTAAATCTGTTGTTTTTTTTTCCTTGAGTGGCTTGTGATTTATTTAGTTGGTTTTAATCTGCAAAAAACCTGAGCATCTACTTTGAAGGAACATTTCCCTTCAAAGATTATTACCATATAACTCTGTGAGGAGCCAGGGTATGCTACTCACCTAGAACTTCTCAAGCCCCTTTCAAGGTCCTCTCTTCAATCAAGGATTCTTCAGTTCACCTACCTGTCTCTTCTCTTCCTTAATAATGTTGTCAACATACGCCCTCAGGTAGAGCCCTGCCTTTCAGATGTGCTTATTGCTCACTGCTCCACTCTCAGCTGTCCTTTTTGTTGGCCTTGTGATGGTGCCCTATTTCTCTGCAGGTACAGCACGAAGGCCCCCTGCTGTGTCTAGTGCACCGTGCTGTCAGAAGCAGAAACCTGGGTTTCCTATTCATCTCTTGTTGGTGCCCTACATCAGCGGCCGCCAACCTTTTGGACCTCACGGACCACCAGTGGTCTGCAGATCACCGGTTGGCGACCGCTGCCCTACATCACCCAAACTTGGGGATGTCACCTGCCCTTGAACTTCAATTATAACCTCTATTTGCAAGACCTTTAAATCTATCCTTCTAGATTTAACATTTCCTCCATGTTGGAAATCCCAGATTCCCAACTGCTTATTGGACATGTCCATCTGGACATCTGTCTGATGTACACTCAATAGATCCAAATAAAAATACAACATCTTTGTCTTCTGTCTCTACCTGTCCAAGGATTTTTCCTTCCATTCACTAACCGCAAACATTTCAAGTTGGAAGAGATTTTCAGAACTCATTTTACCATTGGGGAAAAGAAAATGAGGACCAAAGATATTAACTACATTTTTGTTCATCATTTCCAATTAATTTCTCTAAAATAGCGCTTTCGTTATGTTTCTTCCCACTCAAAAACCTTCAATGGTTTCCCTTTTGCCTAAACTTTGACACTTAAAGCTCTTATGGTGAGAGCATTCTCCCTATTACAAAAGTCCCTTCCCCACTGCCCCTGCAATAATCCTTCAAATAAAATCTCTCCTTTCAAACAAAAGCAAAACAAAACTTCAGTGATTTTCCAATAGTCACAAGATTGTAGCTAGGGTTATCAAAATCTAGTTTTATAGACCAGCACTTCCATGCATGAAGCCTCCAAATCTTACTCAGAAGACATCTGTCTTTATCCAATTCTATTGAAATTCTACGTCTCTACCATTAATACAGCTTAACTATCAATGCTTTTGCTAGTGTCGCCATGCTGAAATTCATTTCTCTAACTGATTTGGGGGGGCATTTCTGATCTATAAATTCATAGAACACTTACTAAATTCTGCTTTGTACTGTAGACATGTTTCTTTCTATTTTATGTTCTTTCAAAGTTTCTCCAGGCAGAAAGCAACTGTTCTGTGCTCCCCACCATGCTCAGCACAGTGCCTGGCACGTGGAAGCTCAGTGAAGTTGACTGAAAGAAGTAAATTCAAGAGTTCCTTACCTTGGTGATGTCCGTGTGATCTTTGAGCCCATTGGTCATGCACCAGTAGCGCCACACATTCAGGGCATACCGTGTGGCTTTGGTAGTATTTGGGCTTACTGCACTGGTACACAGATCATTCAAGTCATCATTAATATTAAATACAGGAAATTTGTTGAGCTTAGTAGAATACGCTAGAAACAGAAAAAATGGAAGGTATTAAAATAATGTGCCATTCCCTTCTTTAGAAAATTATATCTTGGGATCATGCTAAATAACAGAAAACTCCTAAGAGATAACACTTTCAAAATATGAAATTTCTATCAAGTATACATATCTTAGGATAAGTATAATAGAGAACAATATTTCTAGCATGAAATCAATGCAATAACCTTGCATTTAATCCCAACAATTTTGCTATACACACTAATTGATGCACGAATGCAGGCATTCCAATAAAAAAAAAGGGGGGGGGAGGGAGAATGAATGCAGAGAAACAAGAATGTTCTATCTAAAAATTTCACTGGAAAAACAACAGCACTTCTATTAATCACAACAGCAAAAAGAAGACAAGTTCCTCTCTCCTTACCCTCAGCATATGAAGAACTGTCATTTCCCTGTGATATATAGTCTCAAATGTCTTATGTGCCATCCTGGGCAGCCTTGAATTAAATGGTGTCAGCATATTTCTTTAATTCTTCTCACAAATTAATAAAGAGAGAGATATCTGAACCCTGACTCCACAACTCATCAGCTAGCTTAGAATCAGAATTCAAGGGCAAGGGAGAGAAATATTAGGAGAAGGTAGAGGGATATACTGGGAAAGCTCACATGGTTTCAGAAAAAGGGAGCAGATCTTAAATTGCAATCGCCAGATTACTTCAGATGAAAACTGGTTTTCTTCCATGTATCCACCTAAGTACTGGTTGCCAAAGAGATAAGTCCACAACCATTAGTGGGCCCTTCCTCATACTCTGTGATCTACTAAAACCAGGATTAAACTGTTCAAATCATGACCTTCGGCTAAAAACAAACAAACAAACAAACAAACCAACAAGGTAGGCCACCTCACAGTAAAAACAACGCCAACTAGTACTTTATATCTAATGGTTCTCTTTCTCTAGAATGTTTCTATATTCAAACAAGGAACTAAAGGCTCAGAAATAGCAAAATGAAGTTAATTCAGTTAGCAAGGTGATCTGCAAATTGGCTTACTTTGCTTAACTTGCCTCAACTTTCACGGCTCCCACTGAGGCATCTGCCTACACCCAGGACACTCACACCACACCTTCCCCACACTTAGCCTGCGACATCTGCTGGGGTCCAGCCCCAGCAGGTCCAGGGGTCCCCAAAGGTGTGGATGGAGTTGGCAAAGAAGGAATGACACGGAGACAGCGTTCAGTTGATCAGCAGCCTAGCCAGGATCTCTAGCCAGGATCTGTCCAGGTTCTCCAGCCAGGTTCAGTCACCAGGTTCTAGTCAGGTTCTCTTGCCGTGTTCTATAGTCAGGTTCAGTCCAGGATCTTTTGCCATGTTCTCTCGCTAGGTTCTGTCTCTAGGTTCTGTTGCCAGTTTCTGTCCTGGATCTTTTGCCATGTTCTCTCCAGCAAAGTTCTTCTGTCTCTAGGCTCTGTGTAGGTTCTGTCTTCTAAGTTCTGTCTTCTGTTGTCTTGTTACATCTTTATTTATACCAGTTGATTCCAATCCTATCAATCTCTATTCCAAAGATTAGGGCGTTTCTTATCTCCATTCCAGGGAGTAAAGATTATGTAGCTTAAGCATGATTCTTTGTAGTTAAAGTGATTAATTACCTGCCTGGCACTTAGTTAAGGGGTTTTATTCCCTCCCTAACTTCAGGGGAAAATCCCTACCTGGGGAAACAACCTTTCTCAGAGAGGTGACCTTGGTTAAAACACATAGTGCCAAGAAGGTGAGCAAACATATTAAGAACAGTATGCCATATATGCCAGGTCCCTTGAAACAGCAAGGATGGACCGGCTCCCAGCAGACATCTCCCATGGTCTTTGTACCAGTCAAAAGTGGTCTTTTTTTCATTTCCAATTCAAGCTCACTTCTACGTAATCCTTCCCCACACTACTAAACTTCCTTATTCTCTCCTTCAGTATGTCTTACATTTGCTCTATTCCAATGCTAGAAAAGCTATCAGTAGCAACCAAGTCATGTAGGTATATTTCTCTCATCATCCACATAAACCGAGATAACTTGTATTTTCTGGGACTCACTTGATATTAATGAAAGGATTCTAGTATAAAATGTATTATTGTTATATCTAGCACTAACTCAATGTATACTAGATGCCAAGAGTTATGTAAATTATCTGTAAGCTCTAAGCAACCCTAATGCTATACCTATGTTACAAATAAGGAAACGAAACCTCATACACTTAATAGCTTCATACATCACTCATACAATATTTACTGAGATACACTCTCTGGGCCAGGACCTGTGCTGTCCCAAGTCATCGAGTTAGCAAGTGAGAGTCGGGGTTTGTACCTGGGTCCCGCTGACTCCATGCTCTGGAATCAGGCACTCCAGGGATGAAGTTCTCAGTGAAGAATGCAATCTAAATATTAGCCGCGTATAAAAAGTATATGCAGCCCCCCCACCCCACCCCCACCCCCCAATTTACTCAGATAACCTTCAGCAAGGAAAACAAAGTCTGATTTATTTGGACAAACACTATGTAGATTTTTTTTTAAAACAACAAAAAATGCCATTCTCTGCAACACAGCCCAGTCCCCATCACTACAGCATAAGTATAGAAGAGACACTGCAAGATAAGGTAATAAATTGAATTATTATGTTATGTGATGACGTGATCTTAAATAATCTCATTTTAATCACAGGATAGACTGCACACTGAAAATGGAAACCTCTGTTCCTATGAAGTTTTGCCAATTGGCCCATAATATTCTGTATTGGGAAAGGATCCCATTCAACATCGTATATTGTGTTTAGTTACGTCCTGTTTCTCGGTCTTTCATTGGTTTTCCTCACCTGCTTGTGCTCTGACACCTGGTGTGACCTGCCTCTCACATGCACGCAGATGTCCTTATCCACTCAACATATGGCACCCTGCATGGGGCCATGCTCCAAACACGGACACCTTTCTCCACTCACAGCCTGAGTGGGAAGCCCTTACACATGGAAGCCTGGTCACACTTCTTGAAATGACGCCTCACACACGGCCATGCCCAGGCGTGGAAGCCCTACTCGCTTCAGTAAGGCTCTGACTTCTCACATAGGGTTTCTCCCCAGTTCTCCCACTGCTGTATGGATGCCCTCCTCACCCTGCTCAGGCTATCACCCTACATACCTGGCTACCTCTCCGTGGGATGCTTTTCTCTCCCAATTCGAGCTGCTACCACTTGCCAGATTGCCCCCCCTCTGAAATACAGTTCTTGCTTTCTGCACCTGGTCAGCTTCCTGCCCCCTCACTGTGCCATTCTCCTATGCAGATGCCTTTTCAGGCTTCATGCCTCACAGTGGTTCTCAACCTTCCTAATGCCGCGACCCTTTAATACAGTTCCTCATGTTGTGGTGACCCCCAGCCATAAAATTATTTTCGTTGCTACTTCATAACTGTAATTTTGCTACTGTTATCAATCATAATGTAAATATCTGCTATGCAGGATGTATTTTCAGGGGTCACGACCCACAGGTTGAGAACCACTGCAGCCATCATAGCTCCTTCAGTGCACACATACGCCAGGACAAATATCTACTTTGCTCTCCCCACCAAGAGCTTTGAAACTGAATATTTCATGAAAAAAGAGGGGAAGAAGTCTATATAATAAACTAAGAAAACTTTCTAAAAATCATAAAAAATGTATATAAAAACCTAATAAATGAAGAGTTATACCATGTCCCTGGGTGGGAAGGCTTAATATTATAATGTTTACTTTTCTCAAGTAATCTTCTATGCAATGTAATTATAATTAAAATCCTCTTTTTTGTTGCTACTTGTCAGGTTGATTCTAAAGTTTATCTAGAAGCGTAAATGAACAAGAAAATGGAGGCAATTTTGAAAATAATAACTGGGACACCGGGTGGACTCTTCAGTAGGTGCTTTGAGATAATAAGCTATTCAATAAGTTAGATCAATGGGGGGAAAAGGAGACATATATTATACTTTACACAATAAAGAATTTAAATTTAAAAAAACAACCTCAATAAATGTTTGTTAAATGAATAAAATAATAAAAAAAATAAATGCAAGTCTAATCTAAGGTCAACAAAAAGGAGGCAAGAGCATACAATGGAGTCAAGACAGTCTCTTCAAGAAATGGTGCTGGGAAAATTAGTCAGATACACGCAAAAAAATAAAACTAGACCATCAACTTACACACACACACACACACACACAAACCACAACTCAAAATGGATAAAGGACTTAAATGTAAGACAAGAAACCATAAAAATCTTAGAAGACTCCATAGGCAGCAAAATATCAAACATATGTCATAGCAATATTTTTACTGATACAGCTCCTGGGCATTGGAAACTAAGGAGAAAATAAACAAATGGGACTACATCAAAATAAAAAGCTTCTGCAGAGCAAAAGAAACCATCAACAAAACAAGAAAGCCCACTGCATGAGAGAACATATTGGCTAATAATATTTTAGATAAGGGTTTAATCTCCAAAATTTACAGAGAACTCATACAATTTAACAAAAGGAAGATAAACGACCCAATCAAAAAATGGGCAGAGGACCTAAATAGACACTTTTCGAAAGAGGACATAGCAAAGACCAAGAGACATATGAAAACACACTCAAAGTCACTAATCAAAATGCAAATCAAAACAACGAGGTACCATCTCACACCTATCAGAATGGCTATCATCAACAAATAAACAAACAAATGCTGGAGAGGATGTGGAGAAACAGGAACCCTTCTGCACTGCTGGTGGGAATGCAGACTGGCGCAGCCACTATGGAAGACAGTATGGAGATTCCTCAAAAAGTTGAAAATGGAACTCCCATTCAATCCAGTAATCCCACTTCTGGGACTATATCCTAAGAAACCAGAAACTCCAATCAGAAAGGATACATGCACCCCTATGTTCATAGCAGCACAATTTATAATAGCTAAGATTTGGAAACAGCCTAAGTGCCCATCAGCAGATGAGTGGATTAAAAACCCGTGGTACATCTACACAATGGAATACT